CTCCGGTTCACTGGATATGCTCAAAGTATAGTAGGTTTTTTGGGGAGGAAGATTTGTATGGACCAGGTACGACGGTATATGACGTTCCGTCTCAATAATATAAGAATATATTATTTTTTCACATGTTTTTACGTTATTGACAGGATATCATTGTGACAATGAACCTGTGCTATACAAGTTATTCTCAATTTTTTGTCCTTATTTAAGCTTGTCTAGAAAATTGTGGGGCCGCGCAGTTGATCTTAGCACATTACAATTGCAGTTTTAGTATATAATTCAGTAAATGTTCAAAGCAGACAAAAGTGGATTTTGAATCCGTGAATTCTTCAAGTATTTTTATAGGGTATGAAACCACACTTCTTTCAGAACTTCTGTGAACATCTCTTTTATATGAGAAATTCTTTGGTCCCGAGACTGGACCAGGTGGCCATAGGACCACACACAACAAAATAAAGAGACCCATCAACGATGGCCTCACCCAAGACCTTCTCCATTCATACCTACTAGAGAGTCCAATTATAATTTGTTTAATGTGAGGGTGCACAGTTGATTTCTTTCCTTAATCTTATTGATTAGAAAATGTTTCTTGGCAAATTTATTGATTAATTGATTTAAAACATGCATGGATTTGCAGGAGTGCGCAGTTGCAGTTGGAGCAAACAGAGAAAGATGGAGTGAGAGCAAAATGCATTCCCAGGAAACCCAGAGGAATACCCACCAAGAAAGAGATCAACCATATCGCCTCTAGTAGTGATGGTGGTGGTAGTAATAGTAGAAATAGCCATGTAGGAGGGAGCAAACGACTTGAAGTTCGTCAATAAGCTGCGGAATTGTGCTATAGTCAGCCGCTCACGCATGTTAGGCTCATGTCTCATTAACAATAAAAAATCAGTTACGCGCACATCAACAACTGAACTTAATACAACCGGGAGTTGTAAAGTACATGGGACAACATTGAGACCCTAAAATTCGAAAAATAGCTGAATGAATGATAACGAAAAGCATAGGCAAAATACGCGGCAGTCGGCGTTTTAGGTAGCACATTGCATTTCACGGCACTATGAGCGCAAGCTTCGACGAGGAAACAAAGCATGGGGCGTGGGAATCTTACAAAAGCTAGAAGAGTTGAAGCTGCGTCTTGGTGTTTGTGGGGGAATGAGTTTTGTTCATAAATTTCGATCAATGTTTGCTAAAGTCTATGCCATTATTTTGAGTTTTTGACGTTGGGACATGGGAAATAGAAAGAATTCTGTCCTAGGTATTAAAAACGCATCGTTTTTGAGCACCTACGTGAGCTCTGTTTTGGAGATTGAAGAGGTAAATGGTTTATGGTTCCTCCTCCAAGAAAGTTAGAGATGGGGCATTTGCTTGTGGTACTTTATTTAGTAGACAAATGAGGGTTTGGGTGTAGGAATGATGCAGAAAAATAGAGGTGCTTCTATATATGGCATTATTAGAGATAACATCACAATTTCCAATTGATGGGTATCAACGGTTGTGACAATTATGTGTTTATTACGTGAAAAGAGAAACAAACATATGATTGCGTATAATCAAATCAATGAGACCATCGCTCTGTCCAAATTTTGTAACCTCGTTAATACAGTATCACAAATTCACAATCAGTCTCTTTTGATGGTCAGTTGGTGACCAAGTGACCAATTATTCTTGGTCGCCAACTTTTGATTTGATATCAAGGGTGGAGAATAGATAATTGTGTTCCTAATGGTCTAGTTTCAATTCTCGATATTAAATCTTAGGATAAGTGACATTGCAGTTATTGGATAGTTCACTAGGAGAACATTTCTTCATAAACAAAATGAGTATATCTACTTAGTCGCTCACGTGAAATATATGGCTATTTAAAGATTTGTTTGATAAATATTTCGTTTTTATAGTTTTTAATTTTTATTTTCACTATTTTAAATATCTGAAAACAAAAATCTTGTTTGATAATCATTATAACTTTCTGAGTCTCTATTTCCACGTGAACTTGGAAATGGATGCTCTGCAAAATATCATACTGGCATCAACTATATATGTTATGTGTCTCGTGAGCCCAAAGCTACTCATGTTTCACTTCGTGCAAAGGGATCATAACATACTACGTTAACAATATTATTAAACACACAAAACATGTACCTTCACATAAGCGTCCAAGACAAGACATCTTCTTCTGGCAACGTTGTTTGCTGAATTTCATCCCCGGCAAAGCAGTTGGTACTGAGAAAACTAGCGATACCCTTACTCTCTCCCGTCAAGATGAGAAACAAACTATTCAGAACATGTTTGAATGTAAAACCAGTCTTATTCTCGCTATGCACATGCACTAACGTGAGTGACTTGAAGAAATACAAATTATATAATATAGCATATAAATGTTTACGGGTTGCAGTATTGTACTTAATCTGACCACATCAATCCAAATACCATGCTACTCAAACATATTCACAATCTCATAATAGTAAAATACAAATTTCTCTATCAAATAATGGATTAAACTAATAACATATATAATGCATTTAAGGTATTGAATGTGCAATAGTTTCAAAATTAACTGCGATCATTAGAAGGTTCTGTTTCAACTTTCCAAGATAGAAATTAATTTCATTACGATCATTCTATCAATGGCAACAAAGCAGGATCTATTTTATCTTTAGACAGCTAATCAAATATCAATTCCGCAGTTGAAGCGTCTGCAGCAGAACCCTTTCCCACCATTTGTTGAATAAGTCCCATCGCTTCTGATGGCTCATTGTTATTGAAAAAACCTCGGATGATTAAGTTATAGGTATAATCATTTGGAGAACAGCCTTTCTCTTCCATTTCTTTAAGTAACTTTTTCGCTTCGCTTGTTAGCCCTCTGTTACAAAAGCCACCAATCATTATGTTATACGTCCTGGTATCAGGTTGAAGACCTCTTGACGATAAACTGTGGAAGAGATCCCTTGCATATTCAACTTTTCCAGCTATGCATAAACCTTGGATGAGAATATTGTAAGTCCAAATATTTGGATCCAACTTTTTATCTACCATCTCTAGAAAAAGTTTCAATGCCATTAGGAGTTCTTGGTTTTTACAAAGGCCATCCAGTAAAATGTTACAAGTGGGAACATCTGGAAGATGCCCACAAGCTTTCATCTGAGTGAATAACTTTTGTGCATCCTGTATTCTCCCTACTTTGCAAAAACCGTCCATGAGAGTGCTATAAGTAACGACATTCAGAACAAGTCTGCTACTAGACATTTACTCAAAAAGCATCAGTGCGTCATCGATCCTTCTATGCTTACAATAGCCATTTATCAATATGTAAGTATAAGCATCAACAATGGATCCCTTGCTAAGCATCAGTTCCAAAACCTTTTTTGCTTTGTCCATTTTCCCTCGCAAGCAATAACCATCCATGAGAAAATTATAAGTAACTGTGTCAGGCTCAATACCTCTTTGAGTCATCATTTCGACAATGCTTCTCGCTTTCCCGACCAAGCCCTCCTTACAAAGGGTGTCTACCAGGACATTGAAGGTGTGCAGATTTGGAAATACACCGTTGCTCACCATTTCATTAAACAATCTCGTAGCTTCTGTTGACCCCCATAATTTGCATACTCCATGAATCAAAGAAGTATAGGTAATGACGTTGGGGTCAATACCTTTACTCATCATTTCAGAGAAAAGGTTCATCGCATCAACAACCGTAGTGTCCTTACAAAGACTGTCGATGATCGTGCTATAGACAACTATCATAGGCTTGCAACCCGAAAGTAACCACATTGGGCTTACAAGTACCACTCTCCGTCATTTTATTCAGAATCCCGACAGCATCAGCCTCTCTATTCTGAAGAAGGAATCCGTTGATTAGAGTGGTGAAGATCGTGACATCAGGTTCAAAACCAAGTTTGAAGAATTTTCCCAAGACAGACAAACCAAACCCCATTTGGTTCAAATGAGAAAAGCAATTAATGATAATGTTTAGAGTATAAACATCAGGACGAATTCCCGACAGACCCATTCGGTTATTGAAGGAGACTAGTGCCGAATAATGTTTCAATTTGGCGACTTGAGTCAAGACTTGATTGAATCGGATAACGGACGACAGAGGACGCATTTGAAGCAATTCGTCGAACACATGGAGTGCATCCTCAAGATTAGTGACTTTGACAGGCCGATGCAAATGGGTGTTTGTAGGTTTGGTTGGATAACAAGGTCGACAGTGAAACGGAGCCAAGTAACTGTTGGGGAACACAAAAAGAGTAGAGTACTGAAGAAGAAGACAAGACACAGGCCGAATACCTCTCACTCTCAGTCTGCTGGCGACGCCATAACCAACCTTCAAAGAAGAAGAAGCCATTGTCGTCGCCACTCGCCAGCAGCCTCCAAAGCATCCACAAAAACATCCAAAACTAACTGAAAATAATAGAAACAAAATAGCAGGGATAATTTTGTCATAAAAAAATTTAAATTAACAAAACATTAGAAGCAGTTTTCTTCCCACTATCCTGCGAGAAGAATCCGCGTGATGGAAGCAAAAGAAACCGTCGTCGTCCCACACAAGAACCACACCCGGAGGAAAAGAATCAGTTTTCTTCCCGGAGATTATATTTTGGATGCAAAATTTGATGTTTTTGTGATATTGCTACCCAAAACAAGAAGTGATATTAGCAATATCCCCGTCGCCTCCAGTGCCATCCCGTGGTACCCAACTTTCCAATTTAAAAAACTAGGGTTTTTTTTTTCTGTCAGTTAATTTAGGAACGGTGACTACCTTACTCAATGGGTGAGATTGTGTGAGTTAAAAGAGATTAGGCATCTTTTCATTTTCTTTTTTCCTTGCAAGTTCGTGAAAATGATTGGGACTACAAAGTCGAATCTCTTCCGTAAGTCTTCGATTTTTTTTATGTTGCCTTTGTAGTTTGTCACCGATTTTGGTATTTTAGATTGCTTTTTGGGGAATTTAAAGTTACCCAGAAACTCCAATTGCATAATTTGTAGATATAATTTGTTGATATAATCTTAAATATACTTTGGTCTTTTTCAATTCACATAATTTGTTGATATAATCTTTTTTTTATTTTTTATTTTTTGAGGTTTCTCTGGATATGGGATTTGATCGAAATGTGTGATTTTTATCGTAAGGCTATGAAATTTTACTAAATTATGCTTCAAGCTATGGAATTTACTTAACTGTTTGTTTTACTACTATGTTTACTTAACTGTGTATACAAGAGCAGGAGATGGAAATCGAAGCGTTGGAAGAAAATACTTGCGGATGACTTCAAAGGTATTTGCTATGTGGTGCTTCTGCAAACCAACATTTGTTATAAAATTTGTTATCTGTTTTCATTTTGTATAATCACAGGTGGTGAAATTAATAGAATCTTCTTTTCTATTGTTTTCGATATGCCAGAAATACATTCGGGTGAGAGCGGGTTAAATACTTCCAAGAGGTGTTTTCAAATAAAAGTATCTCCAGTGGTACGTATCTCCTTCTCTTGTGGTTTGCATTCTACTGGCATAATTGTCATAACAGCATAATGTCAGGTCGAGAAAGTCTTGCTCGGTACAACATTTAAACTCTCAATCTTAATCTTTTATACTCATTTCTCAACCTCATTCGTTTTGCTCCTGTCAAGCTTAAATAGGGATTACAAACATGGACTACGAATCGGTAGTGGGTATATATGCGTTTCATTTAGTGGTTTGCATTGCTAATATCAATTCCCTGTCTACATTCTGCTCATTTCTTTTTGGTTAAATAGGCTTTGGTGCAGTGAATTACTGGAGCATTCAAACAGAGATACAAACAGAATTACTGCATTACTAAGGTATTTCCCTCATTTCATTCTTAATTTGTTAGATGGTAGACAATCGCACATCATGTTTAATATTTACTTTGAATGCTGTCAAAGGCATCACCTTTTTATGCCTACTTTAGAACAAAACTCTAATTAATAAAAGTACAAACACGTTGATGAGAAAATATTATTTTTGACGGATGAAACATAAAATTGACGTTTTGGGAGGCTTCACATGAGATAAGACTTTACATTTTTCGTACTTGAGTAATTTCAACACCATCGTGATCAATTTTAAGCATGTACTTGCTTTTTCTTTCCAAACGGTTAGAGAAGAGTGTGTTAGATTATGTCATGGAACCTTCAAGTGGAGTTTTTTTTTTTTCACGGTAAGTAGAATATAAAGGGAAGGTCATGCCCAAAGACTTACTTACTAAGGCAAAACACCAGAAACAGAGACGGGAAAGCATAGAAATGGTACAACAAAAATAATAGCAAAAGGTGATTACATGAAGGGTAAGTGACTTGAAGTAAAACTTCAGTCTCGACCCCATTTCTTAAAACCAAGCCCCAGAGAAAGATAGGATAGGGTTAACAGTGCAAAAGGAAGTATCGTCGTCTTCGGATTTGAAATCAACAGACAAATATAGTATACACAAGGTTGATGTGGAGTGAATGTGGAGTGTGTAGAGTAATTCGGGGTCCCTGAATCGTAAGCGATATTTTATTCATTCATTCATTCATTCAAGGTAGCTGTAGCTTGCTTCCAAGTTCAAGTGCTAGCGATAGAATAGGTAGAACACTAAGACACGATGACACGATTATAGCACAACACTATGACACGATTATCTAATCTGCCTCACCAAATGACACTATCTGTTTTGTCCATGCATTTTTGTGTCACCCATAAATGAAATAATCCCCTTTTTGTGATCCTTAAGTCTATTCATTCACCCACCATAAAAATCAAATGAGTAAAAAACATATTATCTGTGTCTTTATTGTTCTGTTTTCTATTTGGTACTCATATGTTCGTCAAATACGACACGCATCCTTACTTCTTTATTGTGAATACTCTTCATTTCATGTTATATATTTTCTTGCCAAAGAGTAAATAGGTAGAAAAATTAAACATTTGTACATGGCTTTATCAAGAGGAGTTTCAGCGTCTACAACAAAAGTCTTGGTAAAGAAAGGAGAATTACACAGTCATGAAGGAGTCTTCACAAGAAATGTTGTGTACAAAGATATTTTGCTTCCCTCGAATTCAACATACGGTTACATTCTTTCTTTTAATGTTTAATTCCCTTTTTCAACCTTTAATGCAATTCAATTACAAATAATGCTAATATTTGATGTTAACTAAACGCATTAAATTTTCAACAGGATGAAACGATATAAGTTCATTATATGTTTTGCTGTCAAGTGTGTCAAGGTCAATTGAAGTTTTTGGATTGTTTTTATACTTTTTATTTAGCTTTTAGTTGCAACTAAATTATAAGGATCTTCTCTATTATTTATTACTTTTTTTTTTTTTTTTTTTTTTTACATATTCTAGACAAAATACTTTAAATTCATGCTTGTATTATTAGAGATGATAATCGCCTTTATTTTATGTTTCTATGCGTTGAACCAATACATCTAAAATGTGTAAGTCGCACGTAACGCGCCGTGATTAAAAAAATATCTTTTGCACGCGCTTAGTAAGAATATGACCAATTATCCATTGACTGTGTCATCGAAATATTATTCTTGGAGGATGGAATGGAATGACGAGGTTAGGCTTACAAGCTGCTTCTTCCTTCCATCCTTAAGAACAAAGACAATTGCATCAGTTTCGAAAAAAAACAAAACAAAAACCAACAAACAAAAGAACTTATATATTTCCACAAACGGGGTCGAAAAATAAATTAATTGCAAGTTCGTTGTGAAAAAAAGTCGAAAAAGAGTGAAGAGAAATGCCATTGCACGTTGAATTTATATATTTGCTTTTCTGATATGTTGCCCCTAGTGCATTGGTAAGCTACTTGTTATTTACTTGTTGTGATTGTTATTTTCAAAATGGATTTTTAATGGAAGACGTAAATTTGAGATGTAAAAGCCATATTTACATCTCATTTTACATTTTTGATAAATGCATATTTCAATGCTACATTAATGCGAGATACGTAAATTTGGAATCATATTTATTTGCTCTTTTTGAACACAAAGTCCATGTCCAAAAAATGTAAATAAAAAAAAAAACATAAATTTACATTTTTGTTCACATCTTCCAGCCAAAATGAGTGTTTTACACTAGAGAGTTTTCTAGCCAACAAAAAAAATATAAAACGCTCATTTCAAGGCATTTTGCATCTCCGTTAAGAGATGAACTAAGGATGTTATTATTAATACCTCTAAAAAATTATTCTATGCTCCTCCCATGTAGAAATCCATGAAAAAAAAAAAAAATACTTAGGACTGCAAAATGACAAAAAAAATTTGGCTTAAAAAAGTAACGAATTAGAGAAACATCCCTTCACAGGAAAATGTAAAAATGTGGTTTTTCGTTAAAAGTGAACAGTACCGGAAGTGTTTCGTTAAAATTCTCTATAAGCTTCCTGAGCACCATTACCATCACTATCGTTGTCGGTAGCATCATCATAATTGTCATCACTGCCGCCGCCGCCGCCGCCACCACAATCACAACCACCACACTACCACCATCACAATCACAACAACCACATCTGCTACCACCGTGCTCGCAGATGAGTACACGCTTGCTGGGAAATGGCAAAGCAGAGAAGGAGAGAGAAGGTGAGAGAGAGGAGAAAGAAAGAGTTAGACTTGTTTACGGTTTTTAGCTGATTTCTCTTCTCATTATTCTTTAGCAGTTGGATGCCCCTAATGTTATCAATATCAGCGGAAATATTGATATGTAAATTTGTAGAAATATCAATAAATATACCGATATCGGTAGTAGTTGCCTTCGATGAGAATGATGAAAATTTGCTCAAAAATGTGAAAAAATTAAAATGAAACTTTATGTAGCGTCATATGGTAGTTTGTCAATATTGAATAGATATGTCGAAAATATTAACCAAATATGTTGAGTTTAGCTGAAATTCAAGAGTTTCTCTAGTAGGAGTGAAGTTCCTTTCCATATCTTTGTCTAATTTTTCCAATATTTCAACTGAAATATCGACCGTCTCAAGGAAATTTCAAACACCAGACATATCTTTTCAGCTACATTGGTTCCCATTGGTGCTAGCATGCAATACGTGTATGCTAGCATGCAATACGTGTATGTATTTTAGAAATTTCAGTCCCTTTGATGTAAATTGTAGAGTTCAAGGGACGAAGTATTGCACGAGTGACAGATAGAAGAAAAAAAATATAGTAAATAAATAATACAAAAACTAAATAGATATTCTATGATACCTACATAAAGAGGTGAGGTTTAGATTTAGGCTAAGTTACATAATGGGTCAACAAAAAATTATTATAAAACTTATCTTTATTGGAGTCGGCTAGACGATACTGCTAGTACTCGTAAAATTTAAAAGACTTGTAATTTGTTCGAGGTCAAAATATTTTCAATATTAAGATTGGGTCAATCTACACATTGTGGTTTTAAGGAGAAGTCAGTCTACGGAAATTCTAGCAAGTATTATTGAGCTTAGTTGGAGAAGAAAATTGCTTTTATAAAACTTTAGTTGAAGAGGAGAATTATTTTCATTGGATTGTGCTTTTATAAAAATATTTATTGACCTAAACCAACTTTCCATTCTTTCATGTATGTTGAAAAAATATTTTTACTAAAAAGGACGACACCAAGCTAATAAGACTTTCTGCTTTGTCCAGGGTTGTGGGAAGAGAACGTTTATTGCAAACAGTCTTACTCTTGATTTGCAAAGAAGTTGTTTTCACGACTCGAACTTAAACCTTTCAATCACAAAAGAACAATCTTTCTATTGTGCCAAGGCTCACCGTCGAAAAAATATTTTCACTAAATGAAAATAATTTCGTTGTGCAGTTTTTTTTTTTAAATTTTTTTAATACACATGAAACGAGGATTTAGACTATACCACATAATGAGTTATCTATAGTAATTTGATTACAAACTTATCATCCACAAAAATCGAAACTAAGAACTTCTGATCTCACCGTGGGCATTTATGCGTCTTGTTATGAAAAGGGTAGTGGTGGAGGATATAAAATATCCCCCTTTCCATGTTAACAGAATTTACACTCCTTTTACCAAATCTAGGAATTTGGCCGCGACTAGGAGTTCATGGCATATTGGTCATTCCACGTTGTAACTTGACCCTCAATTTGTTCATCCGACACTATAAATCCGAACCCATGAGAAAATTTGCTTTGGTTTCCTATCGTTTGTCAAAATTTGAAGGCAGTCTCCAAGCAATTTAAGCACAAAACCTCTGTAAAGTACACCCTCTCTCTCTCTCTCTCTCTCTCTCTCTCTCCCCCCATCTAAAGTCTGTGTATATATATGTACAGATATATAATCTGTAGCCAAAGCAGCAATGTCCATGTTTCTCACTTGTCTTGCCACATTGTCTTGAACAAACACAAACCCCACATGTCAAAGTTTGGATTTTTCTATCACCTGTAGCTTCCTCTGTTTATTTCATCAAAGCTCTCTATTTTTCCTGCACGTTTCATAACATCCGTTGAAAACACACACTGCGAGTGGCAACAGCTATTCAAAAGCACTTTTGCATGTTGCTGCTTTTGCTCATTGTCTGTTGATCTCTCTTGCCCTCTCTGCCTGTTATTCGGCACATATATTGTATCATTGCAAATGGGTTTTTGATTCTTTTATTAACTGTATCAGGGTTTGTGTTGGTCTTGTCGTTCGGAGCTGGAGGGTTTCTGGGTTTTGATTCGATTTAGTTGTTGTGGGCTGTGCGCTGATGGGTCCTGTGAGGGGGATTAGGAAGAGAAAGAAGGCTGACAACAAGGGTGAGGAGAATGCTTCTGGTTCCGGGTCATCAGAGAAGGAAGGTCCTGTGGATTGGTGGGATGAATTCTCCAGGAGAATCAATGGTATTATTTTCTTTGATATTTTGATAGCTTTTTTTGCTTTATGTATGTGCTTTTAATGTTTAATGGACTTCTGGTATGCTGTCTTATACTCAGCTTTTTTTAACAGTTATCTTATGTTGATTATGTATGTGCTTTTGATGTTTAATTGACTTCTGGTTAATTGAATTGTGTCTGATTCTAACTGGGTTTGTGTTTGTTCAACTTCTGCGTCGATATATTGCGAATGCGTTTATTTACTATGAAGAAAGATCCCTAATCTGACTTTGACCTAACAGTTCTGGTTTCATTGCCTTGTTGAATATTGAGAAGGATAAGATTAATTGTATCAAGTCTAGGATAAGGTTATCTAGGTCCTTCTACAATCAAGAACTCAAAAAGTATTCAACACCTTTGATATAGCAGTTGAATTTTATAATGAAGTTTGTTTCTGTGAATTCTAGCTATATTTTTTACTTTTGTTCTTTACTGGTAATGATTGAACGGTAGCAATATAGCATTGCTTGAAGAAAAACACGCATGTAATCCAAAATATTTTAAGTTTGGAAATGCAGATGTCATAGTTTGAGCATTACAGATGTGGATAAGCATTGAGCTGGTAGTAAAGAGACTTGGGTACAAAATGATTACAGCCCTAGTGGTATAAGGAACTTAAAAGGAAAAAAATTAGTACTTTTAGGTCTGGTTTGATTTGATATGCAGTTCCGGGGCAGGAATTTTAGTGAAATTCACAAGAGAATTATTCGAAGTTGGGTACTGTGAAACAAATGTTTTGTTAAATTTGGTATATTACAAAATCATTTGTGTGTTCCTTCTGACATCGCCTCAGAAACTGTTGGCTAATTTGGAGGGACTGCAGATTGATTTTGCAATTGCATAGCGGCAGGAATACCAAAACTTGAAGCAATTATCCTCGATATGATATGAATTAGCCAATATATATATATATATGTATGTATGTATGTATGTATCTGTAGTTTCCTACAGCGTACATCCTTCAACTTGATAAATCTCATATGTCACTAACCTCATTCCGATCTCAAAGACACTATCCTTACCTTTTCTCAAATTTGAGATTGAACGTAATTCATCAGAAGTGTGGTTTGTACTACGTAATTTCCCTTGTGGCTTGTGGTAGGTAGAGACCTGGGTTGTATCTGCATTGACTTCACCAGTTTCCCAAGAAATTATGGTCGAGTAGTGATCGAACTTATGAGTCTTCTTCTGAGAACATGATCAATTGGATTGTTATTCTGAATGATAAAATTGTTGCTGTGAAATGTGGGCAAAATAATTTCATGTTTTGATACAGTTGAACAATCATATCATGTAATACACAGTCATGCTGACTACTTTTGAGCAAATTCACCGATGCAAATTAATTTCATGTTTTGATTGTACTGGCTCCGTAGTTCCCATTCAATTTTGTGCTTGTGCCATACAG